TGAGACAGAGGAGTGAGTAAAGAAGATGTGGTTCATATACACAATGAAATACTTCTCAGCCATAAGAAAGGATGAAGTACTGCCATTTGCAACAACATGGATGGACCTTGAGAATATTATACTAAGTGAAATAAGTCAGTCATAAAAAGCTAAGAACCATATGACTTCACTCACATGTGGGATATGCAACTGAAACTGGTGAACACAAACAGCAGTGTGGTGATTGCCAGAGGGAAGGGGGTGGGGGTGATGGGATCCTAATATATAGTGATGCGAGAAGATCGGACTTTGGGTGGTGGGCACAGTGTAAATACAGATCTTGCAACATGGAAACCCACACCTGAAACCTACATGATCATATTAACCAATGCCACCCCAATTAATTTAATTAAAAAAGGGGAAATTTTTAAAAATTGATTTTTTTGTTGGTGGTGGTATTGTTAATCCTCACCCAAGGATGTTTTTTCCATTGACTTTTAGAAAGAGTGGAAGGGAGGAAGAAAGGAGGGACGGGGAGAAGGGGGGGGATAGAGAGAGAGAGAGAGAGAGAGAGAGAGAGAGAGAGAGAGAGAGAGAAATCTATGGGAGACACATTGATTGGTTGCTTCTCCCACACACCCGCGACCTGGGCCAGGGATTCAACCTGCAACCCAGGTATGGTACCTTGACTGGGAATCTAACCCGAGACCCTTCAGTGCATGGGATGATGCTCTAACCATTGAACCGATCATCCAGTACTTTTTACTGATTTTTTAGAGAGAGAGGGAGAGGGACAGAGAGAAACATCGACGTGAAGTGTGAGCGCGAACATCAATCAGCTGCCTCCTGCACGTCCTCCACTCATAACCTATCCCCCACTCACAATCCGGGCCAATCCAGCCAACTCAGGCATGTGCCCTGACCCACTGGGAACTGAACTGGCAATCTTTTGGTGCAAGGAATGATGCCTAACTGAGCCACACCACCGGGAATGTAATCTTAATGGGTCAGTCTGGAATTTACTGGTTAGTAACAATGCAGTAATTTGCCATGTGACTCTGTATTTCCTCCACCCCCAGAAGCTGAAACAACCTGCCTGATAACCCCCTTTCCCTGAGGAAAGCTAACCTTGCCTGACACAATGCTGTCTTTTCTTCTAGTAACTTTGTTCCACCCAGTTTCTGCGTATAAAGCCTTCCATATTGTACAGCTTCTTGGAGCACCTCTCTATTTGCTAGGTTGGATGCTGCCCGATTCATGAATTGCTCAATAAAGACAAATTAGATCTTCAAATTTACTCGAATTTTTGTTCATGTTTAAAAATGTACCTTTTTTTTCAGTTGACATTTAAAAGTTCTGGATAAGTAATATTGTATGACTGAAGCACTGGTTAGTCAGAATAATTCCTGGAGTAGAACGGTGGCATATTTTCTGCACACATTTTCCTTTAATATCTACCTTTGTCACTCACAGTCATTCTGAGTATTTCCTTCTGGCTCTTTGAGGGCTTTACTTCTGGAGAATTACTTGGCTTTAAATACAGACCTATTTCACAGTTCTCACAACTAGGTAAATTATATTGTAATGTTCAGTAAATTTTCTATTTTATGGTAGGAAAAAACACTAAACATAGTGAGATCTACATGTTAGTTTGCAATGTCACAATAACTAGGTTTAAGTAAACACTGCACTACACATGAATATCTTAGTCTATAGAGAGTAATTCAGAGCTACACCTCCAGAATGCAACAGGTGAAATTCAGTCTTTCAAAAGGCAAAGGATAACTCTACGTACTGGGTTCAAAGGATTTATGACTTCATTACACATAGTAGTAGGCATTTAAAATTAATGTAAAAAAGTCCAGACTTTATAAATTAAGGGGTAGTAACATGGTAACACCTAGTTTTAAGTGCTTCTTCTCCTTTTAATGTACTTGTGTTCATGTATTGCCGGTCATAGAAATGTTGGCAGAGAGAGGAGTTGGGAAAAGACACACACACACAGATTTTTTTTTAATCTCAGGTTTCCATAATTGCAGAGTTGCTCTTAATATCTTAATGGGATGCAAAGCAGCTAAAACAGAAATTTGAAAATGATATGGCAGACAAAAAAGGAAAAACATTTGAAAAGACCATATCTTCTTATGTCTTATGTTATCCTAGAAAATATTTTTTTAATGAAATTCTCTTTTAAAAGAAATAATATTCCTACATCAAAACAGCCAAAACAGCAATACTCTTTACTCCTGGTTATTGGTACAATTATCTGCTTTTATAGAATTATTCAATAACTTATTCTTTTGACTTTGGGTAAAACTTTATTATAGGTATTTCTTTTGCTTCTAACCGTATCAGCAGGATCATAGAGGGTATTAGGGTGCCCTGAGGGGTGCTGAGCTGTTGTTTGGGATAATTTTTAAAACTCTGACCTAAGGCAACATTTTGAGAGACCAAGAGCATTTTCTTTCACACTGTAGTCCAAAGAAACACATTTTGCCCTTCTATATTCCACTGCAGCTGCAATTGGTTAGGATAGTTTACATTTTCCATTCAAAAACTGTTGAAAAAGCACATCAAATTTGCATTTCAACAATGGATGGCAACCATTACAGGCATGTCACCTGAAACAAAAGCATTCGGGGTATCAAAAAAGAAATACTTTTGTAAAATACACAAATGGTCAATTATATAAAAATACCATCATTCAGGTATTAATATCACAAAACAAGTAGAATCTTTTCAAATGTATTTGATTTTTATTGCATATCACTTTCACTATTTCTCAGCACCAAAATTTTGTACCTAGCACAGAGCTCCACATTAGTAATTTAAAGTAAAAAAAAAAAATGTAGTCCTGCTTTTTTTGGGTGAAACCACAGAAAAATCAACAATATACCATAGTTTTGATACAGGATATACATGGGATATTGAGGGTGTACTTCTGTCCAATAATATGAGAATGGTGACATGAATTTTTGAGATGGAATGAGGGGAAAAGTTTAGAGAAACCTAAAGGCAACAAGTTGATTTGACAACTACTGTCTGTCCAGATTCTGCACAAGACTATAGCCCAGGGGTCCTCAAACTACAGCCCGCGGGCCACATGCAAATACAAATATTGCATTTGTTCCCGTTTTGTTTTTTTACTTCAAAATAAGATATGTGCAGTGTGCATAGGAATTTGTTCATAGTTTTTTTTTAAACTATAGTCCGGCCCTCCAACGGTCTGAGGGACAGTGAACTGGCCCCCTGTTTAAAGTCTGAGGAGCCCTGCTATAGCCGTTTATGCTTTAACAAGCACTTCAGAGAGGATTGTAGATGTTAAGTCTGCAAAAGTTCCTGAATCAGGTCTAACTATAAAGGTTTAGTCCCCCAAATTAGAGCCTAGTTAAAAAAAAAATTCTCTCTAGGGTTTGCCATATTATTATTGTTATTTTTTAAATTCCTGGGCCAGAAATACATTTTCGCCTACTAGTAAAAAAATAAATAAATAAAAATGCTTAGGTCTAGAATGTTTTAACACGTTAATGCCAGGGAAGCAACTTCCCTAAATTGCCTCCCATCAAAGGTAGCATCGCTTCTGTAGAAATACGGTCAGACCCATGCAGGTTTTTGTTTTTAAACTCGAATCGCCACTGGTTCTTTCCTAAGAAGTAGTCTTCACTTTCGACGGCACCCGTGTGGCCACGCTGCCGAGGCCACTCTTTCTTTTAAGTCACACCGGCGGGGGCTACAGCCGGGACCGTTCAGTGAAAAGCCGCCCCCTGCGGGAGACGGGCTCCACCTGTTGCGGTCAGCGAGCGCCCGAGCCGGCGGCTTCTCCCTCCTGGTACGGACGTCCGCCGAGCGCTCCGTCTCTCGGAACCAGTTAACTGCAAACAGCGGCACTGTCTGCGCGGCGCGCCGGCCCCCGCCGGGCGAAGGGCGAGGGGCCGCATGGCAGCCGCCACCGCGCTACACAAAAGGCAGCACCCATCGTGCGGAGCCACCGGCCTGCCGCGGACCCCGCAGCTCCCGGCGCTAGGGCGTCATCCTGCGAGGGGGCCAGGGCGGCGCGGGCCCGGGAGGAGCCCAGGTGCGGCGAGGCCCGCGAGGAGGGCTCCGCCACGCGCGAAGAAAGCCTGACTCATGTCGTGGCGGTGGCGGCGGCGGCGGGCTCCTGGGAACTGAAACTCGTGATGCTGTCGCTGCGGAGAAAAGCCTCATTATCCATTCCGCAGGAGGGGGCACACCTCCCAGGGCGCGTACACCCGACGCCGGCTCCAGCCACCTCCCCGCCACGCTCCCCTCTCCGCCGCGTGCCCGCGCGCGCGCGCGACGGCCGCGTGTGAAAAAGAGCGGACACACCTAACCCGCGCGCGCCCCGCATCCCGCCCCACCCCCACCCGGGCGGTCTCACGGGCCCACCCGATTCGCTGCCCGGCGGAGCTCCCCGCCCCCACCACCGGCCTCGGCGCCTCCGCCAGTCTTCGGCAATTTCCGTCAGCGCACCCAAGGCCCGAACACCCGCCGCCGCCTTCGCCGCCGGACCCGGCTTTATGGCTGCGGCGCCGGGACGCATGCGCAGACGCCATCTTCCCTCCCCGGTCGGTCTCCTCCCCCCGCCGCCGCCTTCTCCGGCCGGCGTTCGCCCCTCCTCCTCCTGCGCTCGGGCGCTGGTCCCTCCTCTCCCGATGCCGCGAGAGACCGGGAGATACCGTGGAGCCGGAGAAGAGCACTAGTAACAACCACCTCCGCCCCCTCCCCGCCCGCTGCCCTCGCCCGCCCCGTTTGCCGACACCGACCAACCCCACCTCGTTCCTTTGAACGGCATCGGCTGCAGTCGCTGCACCAGCCCGTCTGGCCACCAACGCCGCCGAGTGAGGAGCCGCCGCCGCCTGCGGCCCCTCCCGCCCGGGCCGCGGGAGCAGCGGGGTGAGGACCAGCCGGCTGCGGAGGAAGAGGACACGAGCGGCTCGCACCCTCCGCGCTAGCGCACCGCTCGCCGCCCTTCGGGGAGGCTCGGCGCCGGCCCCGGACTCCCCGAGGACGTGTGCCCGGCCGAGGCGCCTGCCCCGAGGGAGGAAAATGCTCGGGCTCCATGGCTGCCAGTGATGGAGCGGTCCCTGAGCGCCCGCTGCCACCGCCGCCGCACCCCGGCCGTGCTCCGCGAGGACCCGGCGTCTCTGCGCGCCCGCCCGCGCCTCGTTGCTGGGCTCACCGTACCGGGCGCCCCGCCGCCGCCCCGCTCGGAGCCTCGTCGCCCCGGCTCCAGCCTTGGCCAGCGTTTCCTCCCGGAGCAGCCACCGCGAGCCCAGGGGGTTTGAAGGGGTCCGCGGGGCGTGGGGGGAGGGCCGAGCGGGGCCCGCGGGGCCCGGAGGGGAGGTTTGAGCGACACTGAGCTCGGTGCTCGCCGGCGGCGGCGGTGCCGGGGGCGGCGAGGGGAAGGCGACACTCGCTCCGCGCCGCCTTCGTGCGGAGCGACCGGGAGGGTTTGGCTGCGGCCGCCGCCAGGCCGGCAGGAGGAGGGGTCGAGGTAGCTTCGGAGTTGTCCGGAGAAGGTGGGCATTTCTCGGCTCTCCCAGCCCCTCTCCTGTCTCCCCCGCCCCTGGTCTCCCCCTCCCTCCTGCCCGCACCCCACGTGAGGCGGAATATAAAGGGGGGTGTGAGGCTAGAGGGGAGAGTGAATGGTGAAGGACTGAGGGGGTCCCCCCTTCGGGTCCCCGCCCGCCCTGTTCACCCTCGTTCATCCTCCCTTCCCGAAGCTCGCCCTCGAAGGCAGGAGCGGCCGGCGCCTGCGGCGGCGGCGGAGGAGGAGGAGAAGGAGGGATCGCGCCGGGCCCGCTTTCCTCCCCAGCGTCTTGAATACAAAGATTGCGGTGCAGAAGGAAATTGCACTCGCCTCCTCCGCCCCCCGTACCCGACACAATGCATCAGCCGCCTGAGTCCGCCGCCGCCGCGGCCGCTGCAGACATGAGTGCTAGGAAGATGGCGCACCCGGCAATGTTCCCTAGAAGGGGCAGCGGCAGCGGCAGCGCCTCTGCCCTCAATGCAGCAGGTACCGGCGTTGGTAGTCATGCCACATCTTCCGAGGATTTTCCGCCCCCGTCGCTGCTCCAGCCGCCACCTCCTGCCGCATCTTGTGCGTTGGGACCACAGCCTCCGCCTCCACAAAGCCTGAACCTCCTTTCGCAGGCTCAGCTACAGACACAGCCTCTTGCACCAGGCGGAACTCAGATGAAGAAGAAAAGTGGCTTCCAGATCACTAGCGTGACCCCGGCTCAGATCTCTGCCAGCATCAGCTCTAACAACAGTATAGCGGAGGACACTGAGAGCTATGACGATTTGGATGAATCTCACACGGAAGATCTGTCGTCTTCCGAGATCCTTGATGTGTCCCTTTCCAGGGCTACTGACTTAGGAGAACCTGAACGTAGCTCCTCAGAAGAGACACTAAATAACTTCCAGGAAGCCGAGACACCTGGGGCAGTCTCTCCCAACCAGCCCCACCTTCCTCAGCCTCTTTTGCCTCACCTTCCACAACAAAATGTTGTGATCAACGGGAATGCTCATCCACACCACCTCCATCACCACCATCACGTTCATCATGGGCACCACCTCCACCATGGACACCACCATCCTTCCCATGCTGGTGTGGCCAGTACATCCGTTCCTGGAGGGCCACCCTCAAGCCCACTATCCAGAAAACTCTCTACAGCTGGGAGCTCTGACAGTGTTATACCAACTGCACCAACTTCTGCTGTATCATCGGGTGGCTCACCTGCATCTGTAATGACTAATATCCATGCTCCCAGTACTACCGGCAGTATAGGTATAAATTCTGTTGCTGGCACTAATGCAGTGAATAATGTTAACATTACTGCTGTGAGTAGTTTTAATCCTAATGTGACAAGCAGCATGCTTGATAATGCTAATATAAATACAAGCAATATTCCTAGTGCTGCTAGCGGGAGTGTTGGGCCTGGAGTTAACAGCAGTGTTAATGTGAATATCTTAAGTGGCATGGGCAATGGTACTATTTCTTCCTCGGCTGTTGTTAACAGTGTCCCTAATGCAGCTGCAGGGATGACTGTGGGATCAATTTCAAGTCAGCAGCAACAACCAACAGTTAACACTTCAAGGTTCAGAGTTGTGAAGTTAGATGCTAGTTCTGAACCCTTTAAGAAAGGTAGATGGACTTGCACGGAGTTCTATGAGAAAGAAAATGCTGTACCTGTTACAGAAGGTGTGGTTATAAATAAAGTGGTGGAAACTGTAAAACAAAACCCAATAGAAGTGACTTCTGAGAGGGAGAGCACTAGTGGGAGTTCCGTGAGCAGTAGTGTCAGCACACTGAGTCACTACACCGAGAGTGTGGGAAGTGGAGAGATGGGAGCCCCTACTGTGGTGGTGCAGCAGCAGCAGCAGCCACAACCAGCTCTTCAAGGTGTGGCCCTTCAGCAGATGGATTTCAGTAGCACTGGTCCACAGAGTGTTCCGGCAGTTAGTATATCACAGACTGTTGCTCAGTCACAGATCTCACAAGTACAATTACAGCCTCAAGAACTGAGCTATCAACAAAAGCAAGGTGTTCAACCAGTACCTCTACAAGCCACTATCAATGCTGCAACTGGTGTCCAACCATCACCTGTTAATGTTGTTGGGGTAACTTCAGCTTTAGGTCAGCAGCCTTCCATTTCTAGTTTGGCTCAACCCCAACTGCCATATTCTCAGACGGCTCCTCCTGTGCAAGCTCCCCTTCCAGGGGCACCACCCCAGCAACTACAATATGGACAACAATCGATTGTTTCCACACAGATGGCCCCAGGTCATGGTAAGCCAGTGACTCAAATTCCTACTTCGGAGTATGTACAGCAGCAGCCGATTCTTCAAACAGCAGTGCCCTCTGGTCAGTCCAGTTCTGCAGGAGTGGGAGGAGGAACCACGTTGATTCCTATGGTTCAGCCACAGAGTATCCAGTTGCCAGTGCAGCCCCCAGCAGTCCAAGCACAACCTGCAGGGGCATCTGGCCAGCCTGTTGGCCAGGTTCAAACAGCAGTATCTGCTGTACCTACTGGCAGTCAAGTTGCAAATATTGTTCAACAAGCAAATGTACCCACTGCAATGCAGCAGGTCTCTTCCCAAGTAACACCTTCAGTTGTTCAGCAAGGTGCTCCTCCATCTTCACAAATAATTCCACCTGCTCAAACTGCGGTTATTCATCAGGGAATTCAAACTAGTGCTTCAAGCCTTCCTCAACAATTGGTCATTGCACCCCAAAGTACATTGTTAACTGTGCCTCCCCAGCCACAAGGAGTAGAATCAGTAGCTCAAGGAGTTGTCTCACAGCAGTTGCCTGCAGTTAGTCCTGTACCCTCTGCTAGTAGTATTTCTGTTACAAATCAGGTTAGTTCAGCTGGTCCTTCTGCAATGCCTTCTGTTCCAACAAACTTGGTTCCATCACAGAATATAGCACAAACCCCTGCCACTCAAAATGGTAGTGTGGTTCAGAGTGTTAGTCAACCTCCCTTGATAGCAACTAATATAAATTTGCCTTTGGCACAACAGATATCACTAAGTTCTCAGTTCTCTGCACAATCATTAGCTCAGGCAATTGGAAGCCAAATTGAAGATGCCAGGCGCCCAGCGGAACCCTCTTTAGTTGGCTTACCTCAGACTATCAGTGGTGACAGTGGGGGAATGTCAGCAGTTTCAGATGGGAGTAGCAGCAGCCTAGCAGCCTCTGCTTCTCTTTTCCCGTTGAAGGTGCTACCGCTGACGACACCCCTGGTGGATGGAGAGGATGAGAGGTAAGATCATGCCCTATTTCTGCAGACATTCAACAGATTCAGAGTTTATTTAGTAGCTATGTGTATATATATATATGTATGCACAAATTAGTCTAAAGCATTATATATTTTTTCACTTTTGTATGTGAAAATTCATCTTTGTGATGTTTTCTAGAGCAAGAGTGTTATGGAATGGTTTCAGAGTGGATAGGAAATGGTGTAAGTAATATGTAAACATTATTTGAAAGAATAGTTACTGAGCATTAAGAATAGGTTTGGGAGCACTGAGTGGTTTTTGTTATTTATAAAATGCTTTATTAAAGATTAATTTTGAACAGAAACTTAACTTTTGCTAACCCATATAACAATTAATCTATTCTTTTGAATTACTAAAATCCTTACCATCTTCTCTTGGGAGGGGTGTGGTTCCCACATTTGTTCCTCCCTTACTAGACTGGACAATCCTTTTCAGTTCTACTGTGTTTATCGTAGTCTGTGAAAGATACTGTTACCTGCTTTTCCTAGTCAGACATAGGAAAGATGACTTGATCTGGGTTATATAGATTGCTTTCATACTGTAATTAACCAACTTTGTGTACTTATTTAATGCTCATTTTGTCTGAACAGTGAAGGAGGAATGGGAATCTTCAAAAGTTTTTTTTTGGTGCGGGAGGAGCGCATACACTGTCAAAATAACCAGATTTCTTTTTGATGGTAGTATGCTGTACATTTTTGCTTTTGCATAATAGATCAAGGTGGTAGCCATTTTAAGAGTAAAGAAAGTAAGTCTTGAGGGGTTGAATTTATAGAGACATGAGAATAAGACGTTGTTTTGCTAATCTACTCCACCTGGTCCCTTCTTCCCTTATAAAAACCCCCCATAAAGCTTAAAATATATTATTAAACTAGTGTTTTCTTAATTGAATTGGAACTAATGTGCTAATCACACTTATTGAATTAAATTATGTCTTTAAAGCCCACTAGCCAGAAAAGTTGTGAAATCTCTCATGATTCTAATTGCTGTAAACTAAGTTGACTTTAAAGAAATGTTTTCACAGATTTGCCAGTCTGATTAATCTTGATAAAATAATATCAAAGGAGTTATGACAAAGGCTATACATTTTCACTGTGGAGCTGTAAGCTTGAAAGATATTTAATTATTTTAGTTTTAGTTGGAGGTTTTTGTGATTGAATTTTCATCAAACCAATTGGACCATTTATATCCTAAATGTATATTTGGGGTTTTCACTTTGGAAGAATTGGGCTATTTCAAAAGATTGCAGTTTTAGAAAAAGACCAAGCATTTCAGTAAGGTTTTCATGATATTTTAGTTACTTAAAAGAAGGTAAAGGCATGGTTTATTGAAGTAATTTAAAATCTTATTTTCAAGGTTTTTATTATTTTTCTAATAGCCATATAATTAGAATATTGTTATCTAACCAAATGTATTCTGTACCATATACAAAACTGTACTTTAAAAGGTAGATCTTTTATAGGAGGTAGTTTTCTTAATAGCCTATTATAGTTATTGTTAAACTTTTAGTTTTATCATATGCTAATATTCATTTGTAATTGCTAATATTCACCTATAATTTTAAATAATTATTTGCCCCAAATATTAATGTTTCCTAAATCTAAAGGGTGAAGTCCCTATAAAAATAGCTGTATTATATGGGTGGTAAATTTAGAGAAATGGAAGACCCATGAAATATATAAATGAAAACCACACATTTTGAATTCAAACCTGCCATGATTTTTGTTAATTAGCATTTGTGGTCTCCTGGCATGACTTTCTCCTTTTTTCCTCCTGGTGGTTAGGCATGATAGAGCTTCCTACAAATTGTTGTTCCAGACAATTAAAGTCAGATTTTTGCTACCTTCAACTAGGTTTTTAACTGTAGGGATAGAGTCCCAGTTTAAGGTATTAGTATAAAATTAATTTTTCCATATAGTAACTGGATAAAGATTAATTAGGCACAAATTATGTGCAGAAAGGTTTAGAATTAAAGGGACATAAAGAGAGACTGAAAAATCTGATTAAATATTGGTAACTTAAATATTGCTAAGGTAAATTTTGTAATTTGAGTTGACTGTTTTGAATTTACTACATATTTGAGCTTTTGTTAAGCTAACATCAAAGTAAAGTCATCAAATCTGGAACATTTTTGTTTCAAAGTTATTTTTTAAATTCTGAAAAATGAAATGTTTCATCCCTAAAATACTCTAAAGGTCAGAAAGGTTAAATATATATATTATTTTCTTTATTGTATTTGGCTACAGATTATTTCTTTTGTCACTATAGTTGGGAAAAATGTTTTATTTAAATTGCGCTTGGAAGGAAATTTGAGAATATCTACAAGAGAAAAAAGTGATAATGATTTAAAAAATGATTTTCTCTTTTCTTCTCATTAGTTTCTGTCACTTGCATATTCAGGGCTTGGTCACCTGTTTGTCTCTCATGGGAGAAAGGAGTACATTATAATTTAAATATTATGACTTAAAAACATGTTAAACTTTTGGATGTAGGACAAATCAAGGGTAGTTATTCTGTAGTAATCTTTTGAAATAACGCTCTTAATACTTTAAATTTTAAAATGTTTATTAGACATGTGGAAATGCTTTTTTGTCGCTAGGAGAGACTATAAACATTAGTCTCAGTTTGGATCAGACAGTAAGAATACATATCTTGTTTTTAAAAAGTCATTCTCATTAAAAGGTCTTAATTTCTTATTTTAGTCTTTAGCATGAACTTACCTTTTCAACACAGGGAAAGATAGAGGTATTTGACACTGATATGTAATTTTTTGTGTTTTCTGATTATTAGTACAGCCTCTTAATGTGAAATTACTCAAACTTCTATTCATTCTTCAAGACAGCTCAGATGTTCCCTCTGAAGCATTCTCTTCACCTAAGGAATGTTGTTTCCTTAGCACTTTTTGGTGTTTTTCTGTATAGGCACTACACACATTCAATTTATGCTTACTCATCTTTCCCATAAGACTGAGTTCCTCAAGGGCAAGAACTAAATATTTTTTGAATTAGTTAATGAGCAGACCTTTCTATGCCTTTTCTATCATGATTTAAATTTTATACTGTCATATGTCAGAGATGCAGGATCATATAATTTATGCAACAAATTGAAAAGAAACGAATAAGATTTGCTTTTTGTACCTCCTTTACCTCACCATTCCTTGAGGTGAATTGATACTGACCTTCTAAATATAGTGCCTGTTATACAGTAGGCCCTCAAATATTTATTAAAGAGAAATGAGAATTATCTATAAAATAGGAGTTATATTCATTTTGCCTATTTTCGAGGATGGTAGCATCAGCTAAATACATTAACTGTGAAATACTAAGTTAGAAGTTTTAATTTTATTTAGGGTGTACCTGCACAAAGAGTCAAATAATTTACATGGTTATCAAAACAAAAACTTCCTGCCCCCTTCCTTTCCATTTTCCCTTTTCCAGAAGCAATCACTTTCACCTTTTATAAGTTATTATTGTGATAATACCTTGTAGTCTCCAAATAACTTGTATTGGTTACAAGCATGGACTCTGGAATTAGACTGCTTAGGTTTGTCAATTACTAGTTTTATGTAATGTTGGACTACTTAAACTCTGTGTCTCAGTTTACTCATTTTAAAAAATAGGGATTAGTCGTACCTAATTTGTAGGTTTGTTATAAGAATTAAAGGAATTTGGAAAGCCCTTAGAACTGTGTCTAACTCATATGCCCTACATAAGTATCTATATATATAATCTATATATATATATAAAAGGCTAATATGCAGTGTCCCCTAGGGAGTTTGACCGGGAGAATGGGAGTTTGATCGCTCGCTATGATGTGCGCTGACCACCAGGGGGTGGCGCGGAATATGGCAGGCAACCAGCGGCAGGGTGCTGAGGGAGCCAGGGAAGGAGGAGGCAGGGAGGTGGCGGGGGTGGGTAACATGATTGGCCCTCATCACAGGCCAGGCCTAGGGACCCTTTCCGTGCATGAATTTCATGCACCGGGCCTCTAGTGTGTTAAATAAAATAGTTCTTTTGTTTTTGGTCTTATTAGCTTCTTGGGTAGAAAATGAAGATTTAACTTGTTGTCATCATGTACTTAGCAGTATTCCTTCCTCTTAATAGTTATGATATTATATCACTGTTGATTATTCAGTATTCTTGTAAAACATGATTACTTTTCCTATCCTGTACAATGTCCTGAACTTGCCTGCCTTCTTTCATCCCACCCCAGCTGTCTAGTAAATATAGTATACTAGTATATGTAGTATATATATTTCTATATACTCTTTAGCATATCGAACTGTTGTGCGTCTTTCCCCCCCTCCCCTCACCACCAAGTTTTCCTGTATCCACATAATCTGTTTCCTTCAAGTGCCTTTTGCCCATTTTTGTATGTTTTGGGCTTAACCTTTTGTGATAGAGCCTTTTATTAGGTGTCCAGTAATTCTTGGTTGTCTGCTTGTACTTAAGTGTAGGAGACTAAAGAGTTGATAAGGAATCTTAGTTATATATCTGTATATCAATAGTTATCACTAATTCAACTTTCCATCAGATGTCTTTCAGGATGTTCAGACATATCAGGTGTTGTTATCAGTTTTACCTTCCTGAGGAAGTCTCTCAAATCCCTCTGACCTCCATATGGACTGATCGCCCTCTAGACTTGGTACCCAACTTTTATCATGGGATTCCCTTCATTTTCTTCTGTGGTTGGATCTCTATTTTTCCAGTGACCCATGTCATGTTTATTTTTGGTTTACTTCATGTTTTAAAATCGCTTTAGTTTACTCTAACACTTACTTGATTCTTTGGTTAGGTAAAGAATACCAGATGGGAAATTGTGTTATTTTATAATTTTGTTCCGTTGATATTTGGCTTCCAAATTGCTTTTGAGGAGTTTGAAGCCATTTTGATTCCTTCTATATAGTGTGTGACATGTGTGTATGTGTTTTGTTTTTCCTTTCTTTTTTCCCCCCTTGTTTCTCTCCTTCCTTCCTCTCTCACTATTG